CAGATCAGAGAATCATCTCATTAAATTTCAGTGGCTGAAGCTATTTTTTTCAGACATGGAGATGTTCACTCATTACTATTATACTATTATTCTTCAATCTGCATTTGTGAATGGAAACCCTAAATACAGTGTATGTCGTGTATTGTTGCTCAAGTTACGCTCAGTATGGTAGACTGAATGTAAAAACATGTACATGTTTGACAGGGTACTCTGTTGGCCCTAGTTGAGTTGCACATAAAAAAGGTTTAGTTCTGAGGGCATAGCTCTTGAGCAGTTATGCATCAATTACAGGTATGTTCACACCTGTACATCTATTTCACAATTCCTACAAGTTTTTTTTGCTCCTGGATGCCATCAGAAGAAAGCAAACTCTTCCACAGTAGAGATGGGTTTTTTTTTTTGTTTCCCTATTTGCCTCTAAGGAGAAAACGGTGGATCCATGCGATTTAATGAGATGAAGGAAAGTAGTTTGCTATCACAGAGGATGCTCAAGTTTGTTCTGAGGAATGATGCACATTGAGTAATAAGGAGGCTAAACAAACTCTTTTAGCAAACATGCTCAATTAATAAATTTTTCGATTATTTTTGTGTTGTTGCTGTCAGGAGAATGGTTCATCTTACAGTGGAGAGCATGAGACCGTCAAACTCACTAAAGACGTGTCCTGGGAAGAAGAAGAAGAAGAAGTCACAGAGCATTATCTGAAGATTTATGCAAAATACATCACCGATGGCCAGGTATGGGTGTTCTCTGACACCAGGTTTTGTATGTTATTGTGTGTTTTGTTTAGTTCACCCTTTGACATCCAGACATCCAGACATCCAGTGATGTTTAACAGTTACATATGCTGTAACTTCTCCTCAGGGTTCAGGCTACTCCTTAAACTCCTTGAAAACTACTTGAATATATTTTGCAAATTTAAGGTGCTTGAAAACTCCTTAAAAATAAGAAATTTTAAAAAAAATCCGGAAAAACTCCTTGAATTTTTTACTTACATGTAAAAACGCATTGAATGTGAAAAAATATATTGGGAACAATAAAAGAGAAAAAAATATAGAAAGTTATCTGGTTCAAGAGTGCCTTGGGAAAAAAAAATGTGCCGCCATTATTGCAAACAAACACTTTTTTCATAGCAAAAATGACTCCTTCAAAGTCAAATTTAAGTCCTTAAATACTCCTTAAAAAGTCCTTCAATTTAGCTCTGAAATTCCTGCATGAGTCCTGTCTCCTGAACAAATTATTACATTATCTAACAAAAAGGCGAGCTATACCGCACCTACAATACATCTCGTACTGTACTACAGTCGTTCAATAGTTTACATGCAAAGTGTGTCTTCTTTTTCCTTTTTGGTTATTTTTTTGGTGGGGGAGTTAGGTAAACAGAAAATGTGTTTACAAGCTCTTTAAACCAATGGAACCATGCCACTAGGTCATTAGAAAACACTTCTTTATTGAATCTTGTTTCCCTGCATATTAAGGGGGCACCATGCTGTACCGAGAAACTCTAAACAGCTTTAAGACCTTTGTGAATTTCATGTATGCTATAGCAGTGTTACTCTATGAATACAGTGACCAAGACAGAATTTCTCCTTACCATAATTATCAATACAACATCATGCAGACCAGTGATGAGATAAAGAAAATAAAGAAAAATATCAACCAAGAGATTATTAGTTGATCCCATACCAAATTCTCCAAACTAACATCATAAGAACTGTGTAACAGACTAGTAAAGAGAATTATTAATGTCATCTAAGGAGTGAAAGGGTCATGAATGCTTGTTCTGTCAAAACTCCTCTACAGTGGGGAGTAGGGTTGGCGTAGTGGTGAGAGCGCTCGCCTTCCACTAATGTGTCCTGGGTTCGATTCCCGGACCCGGCATCATAAGTGGATTGAGTTTGTTGGTTCTCTACTCTGCTCTGAGAGGTTTTTCTCTGAGTACTCCGTTTTTCCCCTTTCCTGAAAAACCATCATCATTTGAATTTATTTAATTTAGAGTTTATTTGCATTTACACACTACCCCACAAGGTGTTCAGCTTTAAACATTATCATGTCTAAATAAAGGTGTTATTATTATTATTATTATTATTATCATTATTATTATTATTATTATTATTATTACTATTATTATTATTATTATTATTATTATTATTATTATTATTACAGGGTATCACAAATGGAGTTCTTCTCATAACACCTCACTCTGTCATGTTCAAGCCGAATGTGATTATTATTATTATTATTACAGGGTATCACAAATGGAGTTCTTCTCATAACACCTCACTCTGTCATGTTCAAGCCGAATGTGTCTGACCCACTTGTAATGGACAGAGGACTGGATACATATTGTGTAGACACACTCATGACATCTGTCACCAGTGCTGCCATGTACACAGACATTGCTGCCATGGCAATTCATGACCCCCTTAAACCTGGAAAGTAAGTGCACGTACTTTCTTAAAGTAACAGAATTAAAGTTAGTTTCAGTCTCAGAAGTGATGGCATTGTTAGGTTTGTGTTGATCTTTGGCCCTTCACACCCTGATATCAGTATCTGTATTCTCTATACACTTTCCTCTCCATTTCCTTTGGTACTGACTTTGAGAATTTGTACATCATTAAAGCTTCTCAGGTTGGCACTTTTCCTTTATACTTTTGATCTCAATGAATGATTTGGCAGTATTACTGTCATGAAGAAAGGATTACAGTGCTTTATGTTTTACCTACATGTACCTCTGAGCTGCAAGATTGTAGAAAAATACTTCAATATTTTTTTCTTTTTTTTTTTCATTTTAACCTACATGTATTTGTGTGATTTCAAGTTCTTTTTGACACTGAATTATATTTCTGTTACATGTACCTGAGCCCTTGTGTTCCATTTCAGAAGTAAATCCCTAATAAAAGTATAGAATCAAGATTTCCGAAAACTTCAAAGTTAAGTCTCTCAACACTCAATCCCTGGTTTTCTTAAAATTTAAGAATCAAGTGCCAACTGATAGAGCAAAATTTTCAATTCAGTATCAAAAATAGTCTGAGACTGCATTGGTTGTGCTTTACTTCGCTCTGTGACTGGTCCAGAAAACTCGTGGCCACTCCTTCCTCCAATCAGGTGTAAAATTCAAACCATGAACAACTTGGTTGCCCACGCTTTCCCGCGCTTTTAGACAGTTTGGTTGTTTTTGGTTGCCCGCGTTTTCCCGCGCTTTTAAGCAGTTTGGTTGTTTTTGGTTGCCCACGTTTTCCCGCGCTTTTTGACACTTCGGTTGTTTTTGGTTGCCAGCGTTTTCCCGCACTTTTAAGCAGTTTTGTTACTTAAGGTTTTATTTTATGACACTCAATCGCAAAGCGCTCTTTAATGCTTATGTTTCCTAAACTGCTGTTGGTAAAAATAATTAATGGTTGGAAATGCAATACACAACTGTTTTTATGGAGAACTCATGTGGATATTCCTTTTCTATTTTGTCAGGTTCTACTTAGATGCTGGCACAGCTGAATCACTTAGTCGTCAAAATAGTATTGACATAGACACCGCGCCTCCTACAATATGTAAAAGTTGCGGTAAAGTTTGTACAAATCTGGAAGAGGACACGGACCCATTGTCACAAGTTGACTTGTCACACTGTTGTGTGTGCAATATTTCAAACTTTTTCCCCGTATCAACGGATGAGGATGTGAAAATTGTTGTTCGGCAAATTCTCGAAAGTATTGTTACTCAAGTAGATGATTTGGGAAATAGTCACGTGCCAGAAAAGACAGGAAAATCGGTGGGAACTCCATTGGTTCTTCAAGGAAGTCTTGCAGGAGGAGATATGCACTCGGTGTCACCTGCATCGGAGGATTCTGGCATAGGGTGTTCTTTGGGTCATGCGGATGAATCCAAGGCAGAAGAACCAGAATTGGCAGATCACACAGCTCACCAAGGACCACGTGACCAGTTGAAAGATTCTGGTGCTGTACAGAGTTCAGTCAGCAGCAACGGGGCTGGACCTGATGAAAATAAACCAGACGAGGAACATTTGAGAAATTCTGCAGCAAGTGTTGATGGGCAACTTGAACATTCACACTCCTCGTCGTTGTTCGCTGCTTTTAGCAGTAATGTAAGGTACTGGCTTGGACAAGAAAATCACGAAACAAACGGTAAGTTTATACTTTGTGCAGTTAGCAGGGGATTTCGCCCCATTACAATCTTACCACCTTGTTTGCCCCTCTCATGACAAGTTAGTTAACTCCGTCGAATAATTATAATGTTTTTGCCGCCCTCACCAGTCTGCTCTAGAAAAGGATCTGTACAACAGAGTCGAAGATTTAGGAACAAACTGGTAAAGGTGTGGGTAAACTTGTTGTATTTGATGAGACTTACTCATCCTTATGCAGGCAAACTGGGAGGAGGCAACCTTTTATGGGCGCAAAACAACCGTACTCTGTACACACTCTGTACATGCAAGTCTCACGCAGAATGAGCCGAAATTTACTTCCCTCTTTGCTTCATTTAACCGAAACCAACCCACTGTTGGACTTGATCTAGCACACTATCAAGACCTTGGTTTTTTACAGAGACAATCAAAAAATATTTGAGTACATGTAGAAGAAATTGTTGGTGGCGTTTCGTTGGCACCACTGTTATATTGAAATATCTTGCCCAATAACATAACAAAATGTTCTGACTAGGGGTCAAACCCAGAGCTCTCATCTCAGAGTTCAGCGCGCAGTAAAAATGGCCAGGTCGCCTGCGAGTCAACTCGCCCGAAGTCATGTCGCTAATAACCCTAGTCATATCGCCCCAAATTTCAGTCATGCCGCCCGAAAAAAAAAAGTCAAGTCGCCCTGGCGACAGGACTTTGGGCGAGGTGACTCCCGGACGACTTCACCGTAAACCCAGTGCGTTGACCGTTATGGTAATGCGGGTCTCGTATGAACGGTCGTCTTATCGCTTCATGATAGACTCGACAAAATTTTAGCCGGCTATTTGGCGGCGAGCAGCTCAATTCATCCCAAACAGTACAGAAAGTTGATTCTAATTGATCAGTTGTACTTTATGATCAGTTGTACTTTATACACCTCTATTATTAACAAGTAAATGTTATCAATTGATTTCTCATGAAATTTAATTTATTAAACAATGTGAATTATTCAAAGACTGCGACTTGACTTGGGCTCAGTTATCGTAAGTTGTACTCGAGTTCAAGATATTTAATTATTTAATACAAATTTCCCGTCCCCTGTCAGTTACACATTGTTATGAATCTTGGAACTATACTCTTTGTAAGTATTGTTCGCCTCATCTGTAAACAAAAGTTTCTTTATTCGGAGCAATTTTCAATAAAGTGTTCGAGGTAATCCGGCATAGCGTCAGTTTTGCTTCACTACGGTCTGTGAGCACTCAAAAGAACTCCATGGCCTCGCGACTATTAAGGACGAATTGGTTACTCGCTCTGTCCTGCGCTGTTGGCAGAATGCCTTTTTCTACTTTTAATTCTCACCGGTTCCTTGTTATTTTTCTCCTTTCCGGTGGGTCGTTTTTATTACTTTATATTATTATATTATATTATTATATTATATTATTATATTATATTATTATATTATTATATTATATTATATTATATTATTATATTACTATATTTCTCAGAGAGGCAAGGTAGCGAGAGCGATGAAGATGTCATTGTGCCTAAACCTGCCGCCACTTCCAACCATCAACCTCTCTATCTGTGTTTGAGGATCAGTAAGAAGCATTGGTGTCGGCAACAGAGCATGTTCGGTTCGTTTCCTCGACAAGGAGAACAGCTTCAAGACAGAGACAAGAAACGAAGGGAATACTGGTTCGCCATTCCACCATCAAGGTATTCAACTTACTTAGTAAATCCCAACAATTCATGTTCTGTTTTCGCTCATTTGTTTATTTTTTCGAGGATTAACAGTTGGTACGTAGGTGTCAAAATCCTCGATCAAAATAAACGGTGTGTAGGTTTGTTCATACGGGTCGATCTTATCACCCGTATAAGTTTTGTAGCTGTTGATTAGTTAAGGTGGCTGAATACAGTTTTTGATACCTTTGTTTCTTTCAGCATTTTCTCTTAAACCCTTAATCTCTCGGTCGCCAAAACGGGCAACAAGCAAGTTAACAACACAAACTTTTTTTTTTTTTTTTTTGATAGTTAAGCTGACTTATGTGTCGTTGCCATGGCAACATGAATAGATATAAATAGGCAATTAAAATCTGTTTTACGTCTTTGTAGAAAAGCTAGTGATTAGATTTTCTCTATAATTTGCATACAACAAGCTTGTAACGATGCTCACAAGTTAACACCATTTTGCTAACAATTTAACAGAGATCTTTAATTATCCCTTGTTGAAGGTTCACTCGATTTTCGAGAATTCCCTTTGTTTAAAATCGATTTTTTTTCAATACTCCAGTTACTTGTTTCCTTAAGTATTTTCGTGCCAAATTTCTTGAAATTCTAATGAGTGGCTCTCAAGAAAAGGCATATTTTCGAGAAAGCAATTTTCAATTCAATCGCAATTTTTTTTACTTACTACGCATGCGCTGCATTTAACTGGGTTCTTTCGGTAACGACGAAAAAGCTGAGAATTGCTGGGTTCTTTGCACCGTTAGCTTTTCTAGCATATCTTTGTAATAAAATATTAAAGCCCTCAATACGCTGTGCCAACTATAGAGAAAAATAGCACAGATGGTGTAGGTACGGGTTGAGTAAATAAAATGACCGTTCTATTGACGGGATATTTGTTTTTTGCAATCCTTGTGCGCGCGCTGAATTGCATCAGCAAAAGCGCGCGCGAAAACTGTGTTCANCGCTGCATTTAACTGGGTTCTTTCGGTAACGACGAAAAAGCTGAGAATTGCTGGGTTCTTTGCACCGTTAGCTTTTCTAGCATATCTTTGTAATAAAATATTAAAGCCCTCAATACGCTGTGCCAACTATAGAGAAAAATAGCACAGATAGCGTGGGTACGGGTTGAGTAAATAAAATGACCGTTCTATTGACGGCATATTTGTTTTTTGCAATCCTTGTGCGCGCGCTGAATTGCATCAGCAAAAGCGCGCGCGAAAACTGTGTTCATCCACCTTAAGTAGTGGTTATCTTGATTCAACACCAAATTCTCATAACTGATTTACAAGGAATTGTATTGAAGCTAGAGACCAGAATTAACAATCAAAGGCAGTTAAAGGCAGATGCACTCACTCGTTAAGTAATTAAAGTGATAGGTCTGGTCATTTCTTAGTTTCGCCGTTGTTTAGCAAAACCACATTCGAAAGAAACCTTTATTTAGCTGAACCTTCTTTCTGATCGTTTGTTTTTGTGAACAGTGTGAAAAGGGCCGAAAGCTAATTTAAACGAGGTCTAACCCAAACCGCGTTTTTTTACGCAAGAAATGCGCCTCAGGTATTCTCTATAAGAGGGTTGATTTTATTAAATTAATGTCCTTCCACTATCAGCTTTCGGCCCTCTTGACGTTGTTCACAATAATAAATGTTCAAATGAAAGGTTTGGCTGAATTGAAAATAGTTAGAACGCGCTTTTGTCAAACAATGGCTAAACTTTGTTTAAATAGGCGGCCCATAGCGTTTATGTTTGTGGTTATTAATATGTTTTGGACCCAACACATGGTCATTTTAGCCAAAGTCTTAGGCGAGGGGTAAAAGGAGCTCAGAGAAGGGCCCAGAGCATATTTACGCCCACAAACTGTGACTATCATTATCATTTTGGAGAGAATTGAGGAATTAAACTAAAAAAAAAAAGAAATTAAAAAAAAACACACAAAACATTCTAAACAATCACGCGGGCACGCGGGTATTTTATCTCGGTTATATCTCCATTTTAAACTGTGCAAACTGATGATAATCATAATTCTCTCCTCTTTTGTCTGGTTCTTTTCAACTACAGGACAGAGCAAGTGTACAGTTTCTTTCAACAGTGGTGCCCTAACATCCATAATGCAACAGACGAAGAAAGCGAAGATGACGAAACAACTTCGCCAACGTGCATCGCAACGGAGGAAGAGGTATTTTAATATTGTGTATTCGATGTTACGTTTCTGTTCAGTGCGTTTTTACTACAGCTCTGAAAGTGCGTAGAAAGTGATAGTGCCATGGAATAGCTAGAGTTGAAAGTTAATACATCGATCAGAAGACCAAAAAAGCTTTGGTGCAAGCTCGTCTTTGAATAGAAATAACTAAACCAATTTGTCTAGCGCAAAAGCTTGAGCACCCAAGCGGTAAATCTGAGAGCGAATGATGAGGTTGACTAAAGTAAACCGACCCAGAATTTTCTCTCGACGCCCTGGTCACTGTGGTTTGTGTCTTGTCTTCAAAACTCGGGTCACCCTCTCAAAACGAGTAGATACAAAACTGAAGAACATTAGCTGTTGATTACAGGCAGTCTGCTTTTCTTTTTATGTTTTACTGCGAGTTCTAATTGGCTCCCAGAATCTTTTTCTTTTTTCTGTACTCTATTTCTCTGTTTTAACCAACCCTAACTGTCTAGGAATTCATGTTAAGCTACTAGCTGAACTTCTGGTACAGCACGGGGTAGGAAGGTTGCTCATTTGTGAATGATTCTATTTTGCAGGGATTAAATTTAGTGGAATCATTTTATTCTAACAGTCCGCCGTCTCATTCGCGTGCCAAAGTAAGTGAGGCGTGGTACTTTCTCTCCTTTGTCCGTTAATCCGTTCGCTCGTTCATACCTTCTGTATTCAGTTTGTTTGCTCTGTCCCTCGTTCCTTCGTTCTATTGTTTCATCGTTCCTTCGTCTCGTCGTCTTTTCGTCTCTTCATTTCTTCGTCTCTGTGTTCGTTCGTTTCTTCGTTCATTCCTACGTGTGTTCAGTCGTTCGTGTGCTCGCTCGTTTGTTCTACGTCCGTTTGTTCGCTCGTTTCTTCGTTCGTTCGTTATTTCGTTCTCTGATCGTATGCCCGTTTGTTTATTCGTTCCTTCTCTCGTCGTTTTGTTGCTTCGCTTGCGTAATTGTTAGGTCGGTCGTTCATTCGTCCGATGGATCTTTCTTGTCGCCGCAACAAGAATTAGTGCTAATGTTCATGTTTTTTTTGTTTTTCTGTTTTTGTTTTTCTGTTTTTGTTTTTGTTTGTTTGTTTGTTTGTTTGTTTTTTTTTTTTGTCAACAGTTGTCAAGAGCACTCAGCGACAGCGAGGTTCCCAAAGTCAAGAAAGGTTTTCGAAGATTTGTATCCAAACCTGGCAAAGCTGCCAAAGTGATGTCAAGGTAGGGTTGGTTGTTCTTCACTCTCAGTCTTGACTGTTTAATTCTGACTTCCAGCCTTAGTCATGGGTCCACTGTCACTGACCCTCGGCTCGAAGTTAATGCAGTAACACAGCGGTGAAACGTAGAGCATGCGCAAGGGGATCAATATGACCAGCCGCGCGCCAATTTCCCCCGCAAAATTTCAAAGGAAAACTTTAGAAACGACCGCCGAATCTCGTTTTTTTGTACCTAAAGCTGATTTAATAACGGGTTCCCTACTGATTTCCCATTCTGTTTTGAGATTTAACAATAAATTTATACGGTTGTCAAACACCGCTACCAACCCGCTTGGGTGGCTGTTTATAAGACAAATGAAAAAAATGGATAGGTTTCAAAAGAAACTGTGGTGCTGCGTCGGTGGGGGTTACAAGGTGATTTGGATTTATCAACCGAGTTGATAATGTACATTGGCCACCGTAAAGGGTTTAAGAGCTGACAAAAGACTCAGACGAAGGGCTAACGCTCGAAACGTCAGCTTTGAAACTCTTTACGGGTCGCCAATTTACATTATCAACCCAGGTGATAAAATCAAATTACCTTGTTTATGAGACAACTTGGTTTTGACCCCTTGCAGGGTCTAGAGCAGATTACTTGTATTTCTTTAGATTCATTCATTTCAGACCAAACTTCTTTCATTCATAGTGGTTTCACTCTTCTTTAGTCCCAAATCACCAACTTCTCTCCTTTTTGAGGACGTTTTACCGGATATGGACTGCAAATCAGAAATGCTCAACGAAGAGCATTTGAGGAAAGTAAGATTTTTGGTCCGTTTGTCTGTTTTTGTCAGTTCGTTATACCAGGGTTTTTTCTTCTGTCTTTATGTTGTGTATTGTACTTTCGTGGGGCAACTCTGTAGTAATGTCGTCCGGGATACCAAAAAAGCTTTGTAAAAGACATGGGTCCCAAACACTTATTTCTCCAAGTGCAGTTTCAAAAACCAATCACGCGAGAGCGAAGATATTTGGTGGTTTTATATTTTCAAAACTCAAACATCTAGAAGATGCAGCGTTCTGTTCGGATAATTCAGCGTATTTTGATATTGCCCAGTTGAACAGCACGCTCCCCTCAAGGACCATTGGGCATTGCTGGGCGTTGGTGTACAGTACGTTTGAACATGGCTTCTCCCTCAAGACACTGTACCGTAAGATGGAGTGTTACGACACACCAGTGCTACTTGTGGTTATGGATGATGCACAGCATGTAAGTGGCTCGCTTCTTGTTAGCTTTGGGGCTAGTAGAACAGTCACCTTAAAGACGAAGGCGCGCTATATAAGGAAGTCTTCCCTGGGAAGACCTAGGCTCATTTGTCACTCACCGTTTACGTGTGCGGGTCAAATTGAAATGTTGGTAGACGAACAAAAGGAGCTAAAGAGTTATCTATCGTTTACTTCCACCAGCATGGTGGCATGAGGTAACGTGCGAACCACCTACTTCGATCTCAAATTTACCGCCCCAAATAAAGACAGTTTCCATCGGAGAAAGGAAATACAAATCTCAAAAATTCTTGTATTGTGCTGAAGACATAAAACAAWTTTGAGGAGTGCGCCCGCTGTTCACTGCTTTGGAGTAGCTGTAGCTCAAGCTGACTTGACTCTAAGAGTTCTACATCACACGACGGTTGATTGACAAATGGTCCAGTGGGACCTAAGGCTCCTTTTATAGCTAGCCTTCTTGTTGAAGTAGGAGGGACCTAGGTTCAACACTTGTCGAGTCGGCTGGGTTCCACGTTAGATTTCTTTCAAAATGACCATTTGGCCACGCAAAGTCATATTAGCTCTTGGGTCATCAGAAACGAAATGGCCCAGTGGGACCTAAGGCTCCTTTTATAGCTAGCCTTCTTGTTGAAGTAGGAGGGACCTAGGTTCAACACTTGTCGAGTCGACAAGTGTTGAACTCTTAGAGTCAAGTCAGCTTGAGCTACAGCTATACTCCAAAGCAGTGAACAGCGGGCGCACTCCTCAAATTTGTTTTATGTCTTCAAAATGACTATTTGGCCACGCAAAGTCATATTGGCTCTTGGGTCATCAGAAACGAAATTTAGTCGCTAGAGGAAGTCTTAAAAATGAGATTTTGTGTAACATTACTTGACGTTTTAAGCTAATGGTTATTTTGCTTTAACTTTATGCCAAAAACACAAACTGTTTAACGCCCAAGAGTGATCAGCATATAAATTCTCGTACCAATATCACCCCTGAAACACACAGTGAGGTCACGAGAATGAAAGAAATGATCAGCAACTGAAGAAGCTCTGGATTGTTACACAAATTCTCCTTGCCACAACCCTAGGAAATATGTAGAGAACAGTATGGAGAAAATGCAAATTGATGTCAGGGTGTTTGGGATTAAAGCTTGCTCATATTCTTTTTTCGGTTTGTTCTTTGATCGTGACAAAACCAACTTCATCTCTCTTTGTTCTATCACAGGCCGTACTTAAAAAAAAAAAAAAAATTACTAACGCTCTTATTCTTGTCATTAACTGACATCATTTTTATTTCTTGTAGATTTTTGGTTCGCTTTGCTCTTGTCCTCTGAAAGTTAGTGAAGGATTTTATGGTACAGGGGAGTCTTTCCTGTACAAGTTTGAAAAGAATTCACTGAAGGTTAGTTTTTCACTCGTGTCCACTGTTCAGTTGGTAATATTTTTATTGAAACCAGACGAACTATTTCTCGAATTCGTAGAGTGGTCTAAGGTGCTACTTCCGTATGTCTCCGAAGTCCGTCTAAAGTCGCCTGGAACAGGCAACTTTAGAAGCGAAACAAAGTACTCCTTACGTATGACCCCGAAGTAACGAGGCACCCCATCTAAATGACCTCGAAGTTCCAGGCTACTTAAGGAGCGAAACAAAGTACTCGTTCCGTGTGACCCCGAAGTAACAACTACTCTTTCCGTATGATCCCGAAGTAACGAAGTACTCCCTCCGTGTGACCCTGAAGTAACAAAGCACTCCTTCCATATGACCCCGAAGTAACGAAGTACTCTTTCTGTATGACTCCGAAGTCCGAAACGAAGCGCGCTAATAAACAGTGTTATAGTCGCGGACATTCACGCTTCACTTCTCTTATATTTCAGGTATTTGGTTGGACCGGGGAAAACAATTTCTTCATCAAAGGGTCAAAGGACAGTCTGGCTATTGGCAGTGGAGGGTAAGAACATAACGACGCAAATTATCATCTTGACAATGACTAGCTCTTTACTCTAGACCACTTTCACAAATGGCTGCCGGATTAATATTCTTTTCTTTAAATTTAAATTAGCCCCTCTGGCCTCGCTTGAGATAATGTATTGTTTTGAATTTTGTACTGGAGAACGAGGCCAGAAGGGCCAATTTAAATTTAAACAAAAGAATATTGATCCGGCCGCCATTTATGAAAGTCGTCTATATCACCCCAGAATCACACATTGCACATTAAGGTCATGAGAGTAAAAGAAATGATCATCTACTGAATAAACTCTTCATTGTTAAACTTATCCTCCATGTTAGAAACTCAAAAAATGTATAGAGAACAGCATGGGCAATATGTATACTGATTTCAGGCTGTAAAGGGTTCATTTGCAAGGCACATTAAATTGGTCATTTCCATTGTCACTTTTGAAGTAGCTTTCATGCTGGAGTCTTCGAGAAGCAATTTCTTTAAGAAGTCTTGGAATCTCTGACGAGTTGCTCTAATGAAGCCAATTGCGTTAATCTGATTTGCCATCTGTTTGCTGCAGTGGAAACTTTGGTCTGTGGTTAGATGAAGACCTCTATCACGGTCGCAGTCACCCCTGCACGACGTACAACAACACACAGCTTTCCTGGAAAGAAGACTTTCTCTGTAGTGGACTGGAAGCCTGGACGTTCGTGTGATTTCTCGCCTGTTTTCCTTCATACAGCACCAATCTACTATGGTCTTTCCTTGCCTTTGTGGAGTTGTGGGAATCAGTGATAAGGCCTTTCAAACCCTTACCCGTAACCTTTATTAACGCTTTAACTCTCATGAGTGACCAAGACAGAATTTCTCCTTACAATATCAATCAGATTTCTTGTCTGATTTCAAACAGACAAGTGATGAGAATAAAGAAAAATATCAGGAAGGGGACTACATGGATAAGTTGATCTAATACCAGGTTCTCCAAACTGACATCATAAGAATCGTAGGGAGAATTTCAAATGAATTCTTGGGAATGAAAGTGTTAACGCAGATTTAAGATCTGCGGGTCTGAAAGCGAAACATCATAAATGCACTGAAGGAGTTTATTGGTTGTCAAAGTGAAGGTCTGTGATATTTGGAGATGAGTTTAACTGATAAATTTTGCCGAGGATGTTATTCATTTGCAGCAAACCTTTGAAAGGTTGGGCCTCGCACCAAGTTTTCTGGGACAGACTTGTTGAGGACAATACAGCGGTCACACGTCTGCGCGTGCGCAATTATTGTAGTGGCTAGGTAGCGTGCTTTCTTGTAGCCTCACAGGACTTGGAAAAAAAAAAAAAAAAAAAAAAAAAAAACCTTTACAAGCCAGAACGTAACGGTGTCGTATACGGGTGTATTGTTTTTGATAAAGCTCAAAACAAAACGATGAATTGACAGTAACTCGTCACTGAACTAGCTTTGTATGCGAGATGTCTTAAGTTTTCCTCACCCTAACCTTATTTTGCCCTTTTCTAATCTCTTTGAAAATTAAATTTTTTTTTTTCGCAAAGCTACGTCGGATTTCTTCTTAACTTGTCCTTTTAGATTTGCGCGGGAAAATGGCGCGGGGCTGGCAAAAATTGATCCGTTCGCACATGCCCAACGCTTGACCGCTGTAATGTTGTTGACGGATCTACGACAGTTCGAGAGAAGCTTATTTAGTTATCAACTTTTTACACGTTTCGGGTTACGGACTTGTTACTTCCTCGTTCGAGCTTGCGAGTGAGTTCTAAGAACCTCATTGGCATAAACGTAAGGTACGTAGGTGTCTTTTTTTGTTCCGAAATCGTTGGGGATTTGTGTTTGTACACCGCGGGTTAGTCGTATACTTCTTGCTCGACGATCAAACATCAATTCAGCTACGTTATTGTTGTAGCATCGTTAGAAAAAAACAGTTATACTAACCCTTTGTAATCCTTTTCTTGGTTTGTTATTAAGTCATTCCTGTTTCTTTATCGTGACGATGTGATATTTTCTATTTTCCTTAAAATTGAGGTAGTGCTACATTTACCAATGGGAAAAGGCCAGGAATTGTCCACAGTCAACGAATTGAGCGACGCACAAATAAACTCGCCAGGCTTGTGTCACTCATGTTGCGAGCCTTGCCGGGCATGTCTTGATCACGTGCTAGCGTAACCTCTTCGTTTCTGAAGTAGATTCCTTTTAATGCTTGTAAATACACAGAAAAAAAAAGCAGATGGTGTTTACCGATAGCGTTTCCTTTAAACTTTAAGACGAAGTGTTAACTTATTAAAAGAGAATATGAAGCGAAAAAGATATGTAATTTTAGAATTAAAATAAACAAACATTGTTATTGATCGCCTGGAACGATAACGGCGTCTTTGAAGTCTGAGTCCCTTTGGCAAAAGTCCTGAGAAGGAGAGCATAGCCATTTAAAGGGGCACTGTCACGGGTTGACATGCGCAGTAGCATACACACTCTCCGAGACTTGTCACGCTCGACGGCCATTATGGCAATATCAGTGAGTTGAAGAATTCTGCATATATTGGGTTTGTTGGAGCTTAAACCTCGTAGGGGACCCATGTCCTATTGTTTCTGCTCCAATACTTGGTACAAATCATTAAATAGATAAATAATAAATAAATTATAATGTATAGTAGAATAAAGATCTGCCTCGCAAATGCTACAAATGTCTGTGATATCTGGCATTACTATTTTATTTTCCTATCGGTAAAATCGCTGTCGCTGAATGACTCATAACCTGCATCAAATTTTTCCTGCAGCCACAACTAAAATGTCTTTTCTTCCACATAAATACGCTAGCGCTTATGGTTCCTCAGCCACGCTTTCTTGTATTCCCCTTTGTCTTCAACCTTTCGTTTCCGCCCTGAGTTAATGCCTTTACCGCCATGTCCGGATCCTCCGCTAGACGCCATTTTGAATTTGTGAATGCACTTGAAAAAGTCAGGATGACTTTTTCAAGTTTCGATCGGCGACACGAGCATGCGCAGACCGTGACCGTGTCCCTTTAAGGTACAAATCAGTTTCTACGAACCAAGGCTATAAAATGCAAGTAGTCTTGGGGGTGAAACAACCCTAGTCTTTGAAGTCTACCTGCGGTCAGATTCCTCACTGGTGACATTGCGATATCGATCTGAAATAAAATCTCCGTTTACGGGCCTCACTAAATGTCTTTGCCTCCTTCGCCTTGGGACTTCTTTACTTTCGGTGGCTGGAATAACTCAAGCAGCGATTACATTCAACCTCTGAGTTTGTCTGTTATAGTTTCATATTTTCGTCACCGTTGAGTTGAGGTCCTGCACTCACTTAGTATCCCCAGCAATGACTTCCTCAGCTTCTCAAGATCAGCGAGAAATTATTAATTTGCGATAGCGTCAGATGTTGTGTGAGCCTGGACGTGACCTTACCGATGACGCTTTGTAAGATCACGGGAAGAACTTCAAGAATTTGATAACTGGCTGAAGAGCGAGTTACACGCGAGAGACACGCGAGAGGAACATCATTTTCGAGTTTCTTCCTTTTGTTCGCACGTCTCGTCCTTTCTCGTATGTCGCTCCTCGCGTTCTCCACCCTCTTCCATCTGCTCCCCTTAAAAGCGCAAACCATGATGCCTCCAGTGGAGCCTATGCACAACATTTTTACAGTTTAAAGAAGAATGACTTGCAGAAAGTTTCTCGAGACGTCACTTAAGAACGGCTGTGGTTTAAGTCAACCCCATATTTCTCATAACGTATATCAGTGTCACGAGATCATCTTTCCGCTTTTGGTGAGCAGGCTCTTATTAGCGTTGAGACACGAGGAAGTAAACTCTGTGAGACTCGAGCCAGCTAGCGAAGCGAGCGTGCAAGAGATCTTTAAGGGATGTACTCAAGATGCCAGAACCCTCGTGGACCTCTCGCTCGCTTGTTCGAACCCCGAATAAGAGCCTGGCACGGCAGTCACGGGCTAACTTCCGCGATTGAGACCAGGCCTGTCCCGATTGTGCTCGGTAACTTTTGAGAAACTTGTGCAGTTTTAGCAACCTTGGGTAACATTTGCCTTCTAAACAATTTTTGAGAAAAAATATAGGTTTAAAGCACAAATCAGTTACGAAAGTCAATAATTTCACAAAAAAACTTACATTTATGCGAGTTTCTTGAATGGTTATCGCTCTTCTAAGCACAAATGAATCATGTTCCGTTAGAATTGAGGATATCCTTAAGTTTCGCTCCTGTTTGCGAGCAAGTTTTTATAGCATTTTAAGAGCACAACATTAATCGGGACATGCCTCATTGTGACACCCAAGTGATCTTTTCGTATGATTTCGTCATTCATCGTGATGCACGCGCCATGCCAAGTTAGCATTGACCAATCCTCTGCAGGCATTCGAACGTGATCTTCAAGTGTTGTTGGAGGAAAGATCGTTACCTGACAAGCGGAAATCTGCTCTGATCTTCGTCGGTGACTACTGCAGATATGGCAAAGATAGTGATGTTTATTTCTCTCATCATAATTCTTCTATTGACGTCGCTGTTCGCGCAGGTTAGACCTAAATGTTTTCGCAAAGTATTTCGTAGCTATCAGTTGTAGTCAGGGTACAAGGATTAACTCGGAAATGAGCTCTGTTTGTCTTGAATACATGGCGTGAGGAGTGCGTGCTGGATAGTTTTTAAGCAGATCGACTTCTCTCGCTATTGTCTGCAACTAGGAGCCCATTCATGGCTAAAACCCAGATGGACTGAATTTTCATGGCTTGCTTAAGCAGACGTGTATTCCGTTTTCTTAACACAGCGTACCAGATCGAGTAACATTTCTCGAGTTCCTGTCAGGAATTTCTCGCATCTAATTAGGGTTAGATTTTTTAGTTGACTGTCATAATCCGTTGCACAAAAACAGTACACAGGTAGCCGGCAAGGCAAGGCATTCAACTTCATGTATAACATGCTCTCTGTCTGAAATCCTCGATAGCGATTTCAAAAGCGTCCTAACAGCGACATAAATTCGGTTTGTACGTGCTTAAAACTTTTTGGGCAGAATCATTTACAGTCCGCTGTATTTTATCTTCTTCGTTTTCTCTTAGCTTCTCTTCTACGATTCTCAGTCATTCAGGGCTGACGTTGTGTAAGTTTGACTAAAAATGTAGTTTTATAAAGTATTTGAACATGAATTAAACAATGACGTCAATGAGCCCTCATCTCCAAGTCGGTCACTGATCGAGTTTAGAGAAGTGAAACCGAATGGGATGTCAACACGTTTATAGGAAACTGAAAGTTCATCATGCTGTGATCAGCAGATATTTCAGAGCAATCTTATCAGCGAAAGAGAGCTAGAATATTTCATTTTTAGCTTGTTTAGTACACGGATATATCAAAATTCATAGATACGAATGTCTAATGGATTAACCAAAGAAAAAGTCGTGCTATCTGGCTTGCCTGTCATTGGCCATTTTCCCCCTTTGGTTGCGATCACTAAAAGGGACAAATCCCATTGCATTGGGAACATGACAATCACTGTCGCTTATGGGGTCCTCATAGGTAAACCGCTATTTCGAAATCTCTCGCAAAGAATCTAACTCTTTGAAACTGTGAATGGCAGTGAGTGAAGAACACATTACAGTCTAGAAGGAACTTTAGTTTCTTCCTCGATTCGATTCCTGTTTAAGGACTACCTCACGCTTTTTCTGTCGTACCAAAGTTTCCCTACATGGTTCAGATTTCTTACCTGAAATTCGAGTTGATCTACGTTAGCCTTTTTATCTCATTTAACCCTAAACCTCGAAGCCTTTCAGAGTGACGACAAATTACGTGATTTGTAACGCCAGGGACAAAGGTTATGATTGTTTGGTTTCATATTTCGTTCAGGTCAACTGACTCCTATTGGTTTCTTTCAGGTAAATGGTGACATAGTTAAGAATCACACCAAGGGCTACTGTGTATGGTACGATCAATGTACAACTGGAGCCAAGGCGAAGAACTGACTTTACAATGGACCCGCCAAGAATTTAACCAACCCCGAAGGTGTGCAGATATTGAACAGTTTATGCCCAGAATTGAAGGGCCAACCTACTTGTTGTTCAACTAAACAACTGCAAGCGTTGGATAAGAGTTTTCAAACAATGATCCAACTTACAAGCCGATGTCCCGCCTGCTGGAACAACATGAGAAGACTGTACTGTCAGCTGACCTGCAGTCAGGATCAATCGCTTTTTATGGATCCAACTCAGGTGCTCCCATTCCCACCATCACCTTCTATCAAACAATTTGTCTTAGCAGTTGATTATTTTGTTTCACCTCAATTCAAACAAGGCCTGTTTGACTCCTGCAAAGACGTCACTTTTCCCGGCAACAATGAGAAGGTTTTGAGTCTTATGTGTGGCACTACCGCAGAGCGGTGCACTCCAGATAAACTTCTCGCATACATGGGAAACACAGGGAATGGATTTGCACCATTCACCATCGATTTTCCTGACACACTGATTCCAAATCTTTCATGGATGAACCAAACTGTTTTTAAGTGTAACAAGCCATTTATAGATCCTCAAACAAACAAGACAGCACCCATTTGCAGTTGCCAGGACTGTTGTGCATGTTGTCCAGTACAAAAAATACGACTGAGTATCCAATCCACTCATCCTTCACCTGCTGGGTACCATCGATACCCAGATGAAAAGTGGATTCCGTTTGGACCAATCTTCCACTTGGAGCTGCTCAATCAGGTAAGGATTACTAATTTGACTGAAACGGAGGTCTTGATATCATCAGTCTTATCAGGAAAACTCAATTCAAAATGTCAATGACATTGACCTCCATTGACACTTGGGATTGGATAGTGACGCTGACAGTAAGGGTGACAATAATAATCAATCTAATAACAATCAATATTTATTCCTCTGAAGATAAAAAGACGTATCTCAAGTTACACCAGCATTAGTAGTCTAAAATTATACATGACACACTGTATACAAATATTAGCAAGATAAAAATACATAAGACATACTCTATACGAATAATAGTAAGATTAAACATTATATTTGAAAAATAAGCCTGTCGCGTTCCCGAACCAAGTCCTTGCAGGAAGTATTGATCCGGAGTTCGCCGAGTTCAACCTCACACTACAGGCCTGATTCTAAACCGATTTATTCCTTGGTTACCATTCAAGCATGCGGTGAAAACTACAACATTAAAAAATTTACGCGTTACGCAACGGAATAGCTGCGAATAGTGAAAACTGTCCGTCAACGAACGAAATAAGCGGCAGAGGATAAGCTAAAATTAAGCTTACGTTATAATTCCTGCTGGCTGTGTGAAGGCAAAAAAGATTTCTCCAACTCCTAAATTTCTCCGTAGAAGCGATGAACGCGTGTATCTTAAAGCTTCCTGGGGTAGTTCCCGTTACAAAGGTCGTGAAAAGATCGGGTTACGGAGTTGCAAAAGATAGCGATGATTAAATAAATTACACAATAAAATCACGTGCGTAACGCAAGTGTGTTGCGTTGTTCGTGACAAAGCCTATTTACAAAAGCATTCTTAAATCTGTCAGTCTTTACATCCGGGCGATGAGCATTTTTGTTTTTGACTTACTTTGTTTCTTTCTTCTTTGGAATCATGTTACAAAGCAGGCAATCGGGATCCACTGAA